CGGCGTTTACGGGTAAAGTATCTGTATATGTGTCCAAAAGGAATGACACAAATGCCGTACAGTAATAAATGACCTATATTGCTCCTGCAACTGTCGTCGAATTAAAAATTTGCACCGACTTCCGGCACCATCACTTTTGTACGGCACTAGGTTTTTCGACATTTATTTTTAATCATCTATACACTTATAACAAAGCCGTACATTAATAATTAGTCGAAATTCCCCCATTGTACATGAGAAAGTCCATTCACTCACGTACTCACATGTACCGCTCAGAAATGACGGCATAGTGCTCAGAGCTATTTTCAGATATAGTAACAGCCTTCTAAGCGTAATTCACGTTGGGTCATTTCACAGGTATTTTTTGTTCATGGGCTTGTGGTCTATTCCTCAAATTCCTCTTTTCCTTCTTAAAATAGAAATTCATGGGCTGCGATGACTGGCCTTTTTGGGCGTCCCATAGGCTCATCTCCATATTAAAAAAAAGTATACTCCTTCCTCAAAGGCCGACAACGCACCGACTAAAATGGCCGTTTTTAGGCTGCGATAACTGACCTTTTTCGGCGTCCTCTAGGATCGTCTTCCTATTGCAAAAGCATGACTAGAGAAAGTCGTGAGACATGGTCACGAATCACCATGATATAGGATGGAATATCCACGAGATGCAAAAATGAGGGTCAGGTGATACACAGTATTTGGACACCACAGGGGCTGTGTAGGTTAGAGTAATTTTTTTTTTCTTTTTTTTAAATAAGTTAATTATCAAAAAAAAAATGGAGAGAGCTAGAAGCTATATGTCCCAGGACGGTGTTGACCAAATATATTGTTATGTGTTGTATTTACTTTAAAAAATAAAGTACAGAAATAAACAAAGACTTTAGGACCATTTTCAAAGAAAATAGTAAAGTACAATTCAAAATTACAAAAACAATAATTTTGAAGAAAGCAGTGTTGGCCTACCGGCTTCAGCGTGCGACTCTCATGGGACATGCGACATACAGCATTCGATCCCGGCTGAGCAATGCACTTTCTACGTGCACATTTAACATGTTGCATGCTCATACTGGAAACCAGCATGTGTCAGAAGAAGGCTGATCACCCACTTGTTTATAAAACACAAATGATCAGAAAACGGATTCAGAAATCTAATCTAAGATCAATCCTAATATTATAGGTTATATCGTATTTTTTTGTATTTCTTTGTTTGGTTTGTTGTGTTTGTGTTGATGCTAAGTGATACCGCCGCCCATGGACACTCGCACTGCCAGAAGGCTCGCAAGCGCGCTGCCCGCCTCTTAAGAATTGGTACGCTCTTTTCTTGAAGGACCACAAGTCGAGTTGGTTCGGAAATACTTTGTTTTAAATTTACTTTTAATTGGCATATAAAATTTCTACAAAAAAGAAAGCAAATAGGTAGATATTCTAGCCCTCATTCATCGAATTTTTTCGCAAAACGCCCGTTAAACGTGATAGCGAGCTCAATTTCGAAACATCAAATATTCATGGCTATAACGCGTGTAACACATGCAAATATGCTTATCGGTGTATGTAAAATATGCATTAGTGTGTCGAGGGAAGACAGCTATTTACATTTTTACCGCAACAATCGCCCCCTATGTACCATAGATATAGAGAGCGAGCTCCGCTTATGAGCGGTTTATAGATAGATCTACAAAACCTACTGGCTGGTACAATTTACTTTTAAAAAGAAAAAAGCTGCTTTTATTACAAAAAAGGAGTAACTTTTGAATGTTTTGTCTGTTTGTACTGTCACAACTCACATGCCAGTTTTATCATGGTTATCTTTATAAGCAACGATTCTTTAGTATAAAACTTCTTCTTATATTGCCATATCCTTACGAAGGTTGGCAATCATCATGGCTACTATAATTTTGGATGCCGTGCTTCTGAACAATGACTGGGTGCTTTAACTAAACCAAACCATAGTCTAAGATGTATGTAGTTTAAATCTTTCATTTTGTGAACCATTGTGTGTAACCTTTATAGTCCTTTTTAGAGTGTGGTTATTCAGTTTTCTTTTGTTTAAAGTTAGCTTTCTATAAATCATTGCTTAAACTGTCAGGAATTTCAGTTCATATATTATTGTAAATGTCGCTACAAGTTTCTTTTATTTGTGTAATATAATAGTCTTGACGATAAAAAGTGTATTTAATGTACAAAACAACCTGACCTATCACACGTCCGTCGCATCCAAGCCCCCGAGTACATCCGTCAAATCCTCCAAGTGACATAAGCTGAGGTAGTAAGCACGCAATTTTCCTCTACAGATACAGATAATTAATGAAAATATGGGCAGCCTTTGGTTGACGTAAAGTTATCAATAGATAAAACAAAGGGAGCTTATTTTTTACTATTTAAAAAAATTGAACGGGACGTCTGTGCCTTTTTAAGAGTCTCAACACACTAACAGTATTCCAGGTTTTATTCAAGGGAATAAGCAGTACAATTCGTTCATACTCACTTTGAGCGCTCTATAGGAGTCAAAGTTTAATATGTGTATTTATGTCTACGCTATAAGTCTACATTACTCCCTTGTGCAATTGAATACCACGTATTATTTTATTTCAGACCACAGACAAAGCTGGCTCAATTCAATTAACATAATCTTTAGCAATGTATTTGTTACTGTCATTAAAAAAAGTAAACTATATGTTATCTATGGTCTTACGTTATTAATCTGTAGTTATAGAGCTACTAGCTTTCTTAAAAGGTAAAAAAATATAGCGAAACGGGCAGCGAATCCAGCGATTTAAAACAGTATACATTGAAATTAATTATTATTCATAATATCAAACTGTTGTTAGTGTTTTTTTAGGAAACCCATAAATGAGATTGTAAATTAATTTGTAATACATTATTAAAACAAATAATGTTTTAGGCTATTTATAAGCGAACTCATAAATACATTATTCTTCTGTAACCCTGCTAAACATTTATTTGTCCAGATTAATACATTAAAGAGAGTTAATGTACATTACTTCCTTTTTATTTTATATTTGGCCCGAAAACCTTTAGTTAGTCAAACGGAACGACAGTTCGTGTAGCGTCTCTGATTGAACTAGCGTTGTTGACCAATCATAATGAAGCAAACCGCATCGTCTTTTGTTTTACATTTATAGCCCGCGTTTAAATACAATACATACCATAACGATTTTGCGAAAGAGCCCACTGACAGTATGTATTTTTTAATGATTTAAAAAAACGTTATGAAGTGAAATAACTTGTAAATAATCATTAATATTCCAGAAAATCCATAGTTAATATATTGTTTTTTTATACGTCAGTCACTTGACCAAAATAGTAACAGATTGTCGAATGTCATAGCATACTTGAAATAATCCGTTTACCTAAGTATTTATAATACTTTCTTCAAATTTAATTTCGTCAAAGACTGTTTTTGATCGTGATAACATATTATTTATTTCTGTAATTTAAGAATGATAATTAAAAACTTAAAGTTCCTGTATAGGCTTATCTTCTGTTATAGGGACTGGCGACGCCATCTTGCGTAAAGAAGCGTTTCGAGGTCTCAAAATTACAAATGTTTTTGCATTTTAAAGCCAATACTTTAAATAATTAAAAAATAACAATTCGTGTAGGTTCGAATTTATGTTTTTAAAATTTGTCAAATAGACCATTGTATAAAGCCTTTCGATAACCGCGCTGTACCCGCTCGTGTACAAACTTGTAAGGCCAGCAGTGACTAACAGTGCGGCGCTAATTTTCCGTCTGCTGCACTAATTGAAGGGCCCGCCGGCGCTCGCCCGTGAAACCCTGAATTAAACACGCTCTAACTCGCCTACACGCCGCCTGGTTTTTTATATTAATTAATTTTTAATCGCCTCTCTATATTCAGGCCTTGATTTTAATTATGGTTTGTCAAAGTATAAGAAATATCACACGGTAATAGCTTAATTATAATATTCGTTTATAAATATTCGCAGTAAAATTCTTAAGATTCATCGTTTAATTAAGTATACCGTGATTTTATAAAGTACTGAAAATTTTATAATTTCAAACACAATTTCGATGGATTATAATTTATTTGTATAACAAAGGAACCATTCATAGGATCTATCTATCTAATTTTTAAGAAGCTACATAACCAAAAGATCAGAACAGGAAATTGAGTTATGGAAAGAAATATATAATGTATTTTTGTACAAAACAAACTGGGCCAAAATTATTCAGAACACTTAACAAATTATTAGAATTTTTTTGGGTTCTTTTACCACAATTATTCAAATCATATCAGAATTTCCATAACACGGAAAAATCGCAAAATATGACGCCTTCAATCTGATATTGAAGAAGTATTTCCTTCGTAGCATTTTTATTCAGTTATTCACCTGAGAATCGTCTGTTGAAAAAGCTCTTTCAAAGAGATAAATTGTACTGCAAATAGCTCGGAAAGAGATTGGTTAGGTCTTTAGGGAAAATGCAGGCTTAGAAAAATCGACGATGTCATCTTGTAATCTGTGTTTATGACTTCATTTTAATTCTTAGAATAAGAACAAGATTCTTTTATCATATTTTGACAATGATAATCATTAAAAAATATCATAAATATTACAAACATGGCTGACATATGACATTACCTGTCATGTCATGTAAAAAAATCTTTACGTTTACTTTTTTTTTTAATGGCTGGCTCGATTTGTGCATTAGCCAGCGTCAAGTATAGGATTTTTTATAATTCGTGCTTGTCTTTAGAAATTCGACCGTGTCCTCCATGTACGGTTTAAGCACTCAATTAAAACTTGCCCTCGAACCGGGAATCGAACCCGGTACCCCTCACCTAGCTGCCACTTAATAAGACCGCTAGGCTATGAGGCCCCCTTACGTTTGCTTGGCATTTTGTCAGTAAATCGATAGAGTATTTTCGCGGGAAAACAATTTCGAGTAGTCATTTAAATTATTATGGCGTCATAAAAAAGAAACATAATTTGTAATTAATGTGTATTTTTTTACAGGTAGCCATGTTGCCCAGCGTTGTGTTAGCGTTAGGCCTGCTACTTCTGGTTTCTCCTGGAAAGGCGCAAACTGGTAAGTTATAATAAACAATATTTAGAAAAAAGCAATTAGCTGTTACCCCAATACATATTAAATATCTACACATTCCTGTTCGTAAAAGTTTATATTATATTTCACAATAGCTTACAATTTTTTTTAAACTTTTTATTTTATCGAACAGGGGGCAACGGGCAGGAGGCTCATCTGATGTTAAGTGACACAGCCGCCCATGGACACTCTTAATGCTAGGGGGCTCGCGAGTGCGTTGTCGGCCTTTTAAGAAACTTATTGCATTGTCTCATGTTTTATATTTTATGTCTATTAAGTTTATTATTTTAATTGTTGTATTTTTAGTGTGTTTGCATAATGGTTAAAGCTGCCAGCTCCGAGATGGGTATACTGAAAATAATCAATATTTCAGCAACGTAATACCTACTAGAGATTAATTTATAAATATTATACACGAAATAGCTTTGAATCTATATTTATGCGGATCCTAAAAGCAACTTCTTTTTAAACTTTTCAAACGCTAAAGTCCGTAAAAAGTAAGTTAGTTTTGGAAACCTCTACATTTTCTTATAAAGTTATAGGATTCAATTTTGTTAGCAAAATGCGACGGGCATTTATGGTGGAAAGATTTTATCAGCAAAAATAGAACAATGGCAATAACTATTGTTTATTGAATTAATAAAACATATGAACGCCGCCAGAACCTATTTTTTATTAGTTTAGATGTGAATTTGAAACTTCTTCATAAGGAAATAAAAAATATTTGAGTAATCAAAAAAAATACAATCTTTTCCCAAAAATGGGCTCAAAGCTTGAAATCGCTGGAATATTATTTTCAGTATCCCCTACAATTTTGGTGAAACTATATTGCCCGCCTTCCACTGCGAGCGGAACGGACCCATTACGGACTCCGCTATACTCGTAACGACGATTTTCATACATTTTCATTTTCATTTCCGTGGGAAACGCGGTAAACTCGCTAACCTCATTTGTGACTCTTTCAACTCGCTCTCTCCGCTGCGCTCGTCTCCACTTTGGTGGAAGCACAATGGGTCCGTTCCGCTCGCAGTGGAAGGCGGGCATATTACCTATATACCAACATTACAAAAAATTATAAAATTAAATAAAACTACCATCCCAGAAACAGATGCACCAACGACGTTAACAACCAAAGCCCCAAGCACCACCACGCTACCATCAAGCACTGTAGTCTGGGTGACGGAACCGTTAAACGAGGGACAGGCTATCCAGAAGGCTCTGCAGTACCTCCTCCAACATCGCCAACCTGATTGGGGTTGGGCCAACGACACCCACCATGTCATGCTCACTTTACAGGTATGCTTTCAAGTGTTCATTAATAAAAAAAGTGCGTGCGTACAAAGTACACATATCAGAAGTGAAACTTCTTTGGCAAACTAATTTTTAAGTCTTGTTCATATTTACACAAATCTAAAACTTTAGATTTCCGAGACTTAAAGGGAGGAAAAAAGGAAGATGTTATATTAGGTATTTAATTAAAATAAGACATTAAAATATTAAAAGTGTCGAAAATTAATACAAATAATAAATTAAATTTTTTAAATTTATATCTTCGATAATAAAAACACGTGGCATTTTAATTTACAATTCGTCATTTGAGATTTCAATAAATTATTTTGTATAAAATATAAAATACTAATATTTCATAAATTCCCTTTACGAAATTTTAATTTTAAAAATAGTTTTTCTATAAGGTAATTCACCCTTCTCACTCTCTTTCAATCGGCCTCAATCGCCCTCTCCCTTTCGACAAAAACGTCACATCTTCGTGAAAATTTAAAAATTTTACCCTCAAGCGCCTCAAGAAGTTTCACTTCAAAAATCATGCTTGCGTAGCGTCAGTGTTGGGTATTGCAATTCCGAAAGAGTTGCTGCATCTGGCGCAGGACAAGACACGCTTCATAAGACTAACTAACCTCCAATGATGGAGAGACGAGACCAACAGAAGAAGAGTAATAGTTATATGGATATTGGTTTTTTAATTCAAACTATTCCAGCCATTAGGGCGCTCAAACAAATCTTCAGCTAAATAATTTTGTGTAGAATTCTTGTTGGTTTTCCCCTGAATGTCCATTGTTTTGAATATCGGACCTGCACATTGATAATTTACGCAAAAGCTTTTGAGGAAGTAATTGGAAATCTTAATAGATAGTAATAATATATTTTTATAAATTGTTTCTTCACTGAGACATTACAATCTTGTCTTAACATAGACTTAGTAATTTAAAATAACCTAATTTACTAATAAAGATATTTAACGTAAGAAACTAAGCACACTACGAGTACTTACAGTCTCTATTCGGAACACTTATTGAGTTCTATTTTTTATAAACAATAAAAATATAACCCCTATAAATATCTAATGACAAACAACCTAACCAATTTGTTAAAGACACTGGAAGGAACTAGCGTTTAAGATACAGGCTAGGCCTAGTTTAATCGCTAGTGCACCTTTAGAATGTAAGTACCAAATGTTTTTCGTCAAATAAAGTGATTTTTATTTTTTATTTTATTTATTTTTATTTGTACTTATTAATGAAAATAATTGGACATTAATTATAATATATAATTAAATTATATTATTATAATATAAAATATTTAAACGTGAAAAAAAAAACTATTTACTATTACTAGTAAAAGAAATACTATTTGCTATATTCATATTATTAAGTGCAGCTATTTTCTAATTCAGAAACTGTAAACCCTAAATATTCAGAATTTTCTCTTAATTCATCATATTGTGTACCCTGTAGATATCCCAGGTATCTCATCATTCCATTTGTCCCTCCGGAGAACGCGTTTTGGCCAAATCTCACCGATGTCCAGATTGAGCATTCTGATAAACGAGCTGGGTCTGGATATCCATAGTTGCTTCCCTCACACTTTGAAATCGTTTTTTGTTTAGTTTTTATAGCTTAATTGTTTTTATAATCTCTTGTATGATAGTTTGCCTACAAGTGCTTCTCACACTGAAAATTCTGTTATTTTTCTTGTACCAATACAAATCAGTGTGCAATCTTTTATAAATAAATAAATAATAAATAAACAATTATAATACCCTTAAAATAATAAAGACTAAAATTCTGATAAATCTAACGAAATGTATTAATAGAAAAATATAATAACTATCTTTAATTACAGTTGGCAAATAACACTGGAAAGGAAATAGAACAACAAGGCATGGAGATGCAGCTGTCGGCTAAGCAGATGGAAATTGAGATCTTACTTATGATGTCCAAGTCAGTATATAACGATTTTAACAACGCTAATTGATATTGTAGCGACACCAAGAACCTGCAGTTCCAAATTAGCCCAATTGAAAAAACTGCGAAGAGACTTCGATCTGCCATTTTGTTACTGTTTTAGTACTTCGCTATTATAACGGATTAAACAGCCTTGCAATTCTGTAACTCACTTTTCGAACTCGCACAGCGGTTTTCGCATTTCGAATGCCAAATCGTAAAATGACTGCTTCACGACTGATTTGAGCGCAACCGCCGCTGCGAAAACCGTTGTAAGAGTTCGAAAAGTGAGTTACAGAATCGCAGGGCTGTGTTAGTTATATATTTTATAACCTTCTATGAAACCTTCTCCGGTAAAGGCCTCTTGCAAGGCTGCCATCTTTCTATATCCCGAGCTATTTGGATCCACTCGGGTCCCGCGATTCTTTTGATGCCATCATCAGATCGAGCGTAGGGTCTGCCTCTGTAGCGTTATACTTAGCGGTAAGTGTCTTCTAAGAATCTTACCCTGAGTGATTGTATCAAACTCCTATTCTTTACAGGCACCATGAATCCCCACCCCCATTGGGACGCCTGGCTGCCTACACTTTAGCTCTGGGCGCGCTTTGCAAAGACCCTCGGTCGTTCCACGGCAGGGACCTGGTATCAGCGCTCCTTCATCGTGAACCACCCCATGACCTGGAGTTCGCGTATGCCACCCTTGCTGCCTGCTCTTCCGCAGCTCATGTCCGCCGGCGCCATATTCGTCGATTACTGGATATTGCAAATGCCGCTGCTGATCACAGTTTAGGTACTGTGGCTAAGATATAATAAGATAAATAATTATTTATTTATTTACAATAGCTTGTTAACGCTCGGCACACTGGGGGCCGTTCAAGTATTACGTAAGCACTGTAGGGGGGAGGGGGGTTCTTATTTGGTAATTACGTCAACAGTAATAGTCTATGCTTGAAAACGAAATGCATTTTCGAGGATTCCTACAACAAAATAATACGTTTATTACGTAATACTTGAACGGCACCCTATTCATTATTACAAGAAAAAAAGAATACAAGATTTAATGTGACAAGCACTTATAGGCAAACAAACACAAACAAAAAATTCAATTTATAAATGGAGAAAATTATGGATACAGTTCTGAATGCTATATAATTCGATAAGGATATCGTTTGTATATGTATTTAAAAAAAATGCAAATTATGAATGCTTAATGGATGAATAAAAATTATTTGTAAGTAGAAACAACATCCAGTATAAATGGTGTGTTGGTAGAAGGAAAAAATCGCTTGGTAACGTAAGGTAGGGGGCGGGTATTGCGACTGGGTAGTTGCTGCATCTAGCACTGGAGAAGACACGCTTCACGAGACTGACGGACTACCTCCCCGTCACTAAACATGTGATAATGGATTGGTTGCAAAAACACATTTAAGCAGATAATTTAAAGTTCAAAGTAATTTTTTAACCAATAAAAGAGGAGGGCTAAATTTTAATTTTAAACATAAATGCGTTTATTCCTTATATTATATTTATATCAAATTCTAGTTCAAAATCATTTATTCATTTCGGTAACACAATGTACACTTATGAACTTACCTACTGCCAGTTCTCAAATCAAGGTCGTAGAACGGACGAAAGGAACTAGCGAAAAACTCTCCGTCACTCTGTTTAATCGCCAAGTTTATTGTTTTTTTAAATTCACTATTATCTGTATTTTTAATCAAATGCTTGTCTATGGCGTCAGATTCTCTCAAGTCGCCGATATCCATCACTTTACAATATTCCCAAGTAATATAGTACTCGTACTTCAAGCACTTTTGAATACAAATAAAATACGTGATAGTTTCTGTCATATGCGTTTCTGTATCTCACTCTTAGAACCGTGTCCATACTTAGAAGACCATTGCCAAAGGTGGTAAATTATGTCTATAGTATTAAAGGTCTCCATTCAATCTGTAAAATATTGTAACAATATAGATATAGATAACTAATAATGTTTTTTTTCACAGACACAATATCTATGGTAATACTGGCGCTTCGCTGCGTGGTTCAAGACCATAGACACCGTAGTCTATTGCACTTCGTCCGTCGCCCCATGGCCGGTCTTGCTCGTCAGCAACATCCCGACGGCAGCTTTGGATCACTCACCACTACAGCTCTTGCTATTCAAGTATGGATAATTTATAAGATTTTTATGTTTACTTCAATTGTCATACATTTTATATGAAATATTTTGTAAAATATGCCGTTGATTTGGTGCTATGTATGATGTGGTCAACTTTAATAAATAAATAGACTCTCTAAGTCGAATTTGAAGCATACATATTGTTTCAGAACTTAATAAGACAGAAATAAATGTGAAACGTTGGTATAAACTCGACGGATAAAATATAATTATATTAATATGATATGTAGTAGGAATATGTTACATAGTAAATATTGTGGTAAAAACCAGTGAAGCACTAAGAAATAATAAATTGAAATGATTAATATGTTTCTATATATTATATTGGACACTATTAATAATGGTTAAATAATTATTGTAAAATATATAAACGGATATAACTAGAATACATACAACTGTAATAAAAGTAGTTGAATCAAAAAACAAAATATTTATTTATTTAGACATAGACATAACATTTATTACAAACAAAAACACACACACATAAACACACAAAATAACAATAATCAAAGAAGAAATAAAATGAGAGATATCCAAAACAATTTTTTTTTTAAATTCCCTTTTCCCATTCGGTTCGTTTCAAGTGTGTAATGCGTGTGTATTTGCCTTGGCTCAGCATTATGTTGAGGAGCAGAATGTTCCACAGCGCTGGTCATTCTGCCAGAGACCACAGCAGCGAATTTTTTTTGCGCCTCAGTCGCAAGAAAGAAAGAAAAGGAATGTAATAATACTTAGTAGAAAAAAAATATATATATTAGTAAAAGTTTGCAGTGTAAGTAATGAAGTCTTGTGTAAAGGTGTATAGTAAATAAAATAAAATTAAAAATAAGAATAATTATTGTTAAGTAGATAACAGGATTGTGCATATTTACAAAATATACACAATCCTGTCCTGACAGGTGACTCTAAATCGGCATAACCAATGAAAAATTTACGAACCGTAGGCACTAGCAAAATATAGTATCTAGAACTTTTGTCGGTTCACTCAACGGACAATAAAAAATCATATCATTTTATATTATAAAGTTGTATTTATATGATAAAACTTAAGGAATGAAACTAATTTCACAAATTTCTATTCTATCTCGACACCTTGTGCCATATCTCCAGATAACTAGGTTATTATATAATTCATGTTTTTATAAATTACGAATATTTATAGAAACTAAAACAGCCGCGTTTTAACTGTACATCTATCTCTTTTTGTCACAGCATAAACACAATTTGTCAGAAAGAGACGAAAGCAATTTTTTTGTAGACGTTAAATTACAAAGACATTTTAATGTCTTTCCAGGCTCTCGAAGACTCAGACAGCGGTCCAGGCGCTCACCAGCATTGGAGTCTACCGGCAGCCCGTAAGTGGCTCCTGGAGCGTCAGGAAGCAGACGGAGGCTGGGGAGATGTGGAGAAGACCGCTGCAGCTGTTGCAGCATTGACACCAGCATCTTTAGCTGCTGTACGGCCACCGCACTGCAGTGATAAGCTATTGGACAGCCGTCATGAACCTTTTGGTTTGTTATTTAATAATATTTTCACTGAATATGTCTCCTCTCTAAAACCCTACTTAGTAAAGCTAGATGAGAAATAAAGTTTACCGACGCCCATGGACACATTGCCAGAAGGCTCGCAAGTGCGTTGCTGGTCTTTTAACAATTGGTACGTAGAAGTCGAAGTAGGAAGTTGAGAAAAATGGGGAGAAATTGGCTGCCAAAAATCAGTCTGGAATTTAGGGAAAACACCTTTTGTATGGCAATCAAGGTTTACAATAATTTACCAAAAGAATTAAAAGATCTTCCGACTAGAGTTTTTAAAAATCGACTTGGTGTATTACTTTTGGAAAAAATGTATTATTCAATAAATGATTATTTGCGTGAGACACTGTAGTTGATATAAATTTAATAAAGTATGATATGTACGATACAAATAATATAAGAATTGACGAATTCATTTGACTAATAATGTAAAATTCCTTTAAAGACAAATTTGCGCGCCATTGTGTGTGGCAGAATATGCGAACTTACGATTGTACCACCTTACACATTTTTGTACCAAATTCTTGCAATAAATAAATAATACGCTCTTTTCTTGAATGAGTATTTTTTATTCACGTGTTTTTTAAACAAAGAGCAATTTAAACAAAGACAATTGTTATATATTTAAGAATATAATCAATAATAGTAAAAGAATTTGACGACTCATTGGTCTAGTGGTTAGTACCCCTCACTGCGAATCCATGGGTCCCGGGTTCGATCCCCGGCTGAGACGAACATCGATGTGATGAGCATTTGGTGTTTTGCTTAGGTCTTGGGTGTTTAAATATGTATTTATATGTATATCTATCTATAATATGTATGTATATCCGTTGCCTAGTACCCATAACACAAGCTTCACCAGCTTAGCATGGGACTAGGTCAATTGGTGTGAATTGTATTAAATAAAAAAAATCTCGCTCGAAAAATATCTTATCTTTCCAGAGAACGGAGGAGATGGAAACTTGAAGGTGGCTTATCAGTCAGGCCACGCCGGCAACGAATCTGACGCTCGCAACGTCTCTTTTACATACACGCTGTGGTTAGGCACAAATGTCACTGAAAATTACACCCTGTACATGGTTGCTCCAAGGTATGTTTCAAACAGTTGTATTACAATCTCAAGGCATTTTTTGTAGGCAACTAGGTGATCAGCCATTTGTGCCTGACACAATTGAATCTAATACCTCAAGGTTGACGTTCAAGACACGAATCAATTGCTCTTTTAATTACTGTAAAGTCATCCATGTTGCAGTGGTGGCTTAGTGGCGCCAGCGTGCGACTCTCATCCCTGAGGTCGTAGGTTCGATCCCCGGCTGTGCACCAATGGACTTTCTTTCTATGTGCGCATTTAACATTTGCTCGAACGGCGAAGGAAAACATCGTGAGGAAACCGACATGTCTTGGACCCAAAAAGTCGACGGCATGTGTCAGGCACTGGAGGCTGATCACCTACATGCCTATTTGATTGAGAAAATAATCATGAAACATATTCAGAAATCTGAGGCCCAGTCCTAAAAAGGTAGCGCCACTGATTTTTTTTTAAATAGTCAATAAATATGGAAATATTATAATTTTAGGAACGTATCGTTCTACCACGTGATGCAAATGGCGTCTGAGCAAGACCCGAAATTCAAGTTCGAGGCCAGCGAATGGCCAAATGGTCACTACGTCCACACCTTGGCTGGTCACAAGGAGGAGCCCATGGGATATCACTACTGGCTCCTCTACCGTCTCCCAGAAGTGCCTGACCCCGCCAGCCCACCTGGAAACCAGCTCGTCGCCCCCGTTGGTTAGTTTTGTTAAATTTGTATCACTGTTTTTTTTCTAGTATATATATCGATTTTCTATAATATTTACTAACTTTTTCATTTAATTTAGACTTAAATATACAAGGTCCTTCATAGGTAATCGATATTAAATGATTTTCAAAATTTGAATTAAATCTGTTAAGCCGTTTGGTCACAATAATGTTTTTTGATTTTTACAAAAATATCACTTTGTATGTCTAAGACCAAATTTTAATTTATTTTTAAAATATCAATTCAATTTCGCGTAATAATTTAAAGATTATCTAAGGGTAATATTTAAAGTCGGATAAAAGTTAGATTCCGAAATATTTTTAACATACGGGAGTCATACTTAAGCCTGGACTCTTAAGTTGTCCTTAGCGTACAGACTTACAACTTACTAACTTAAATTGTTTTCAGGCGTTGACGATTTGCTGGTTGAAGACGGCGAGCACTATTTATTCTGGTATAAGAAATTGTAAAAAAATAAAGTTTCCCAAATCGAAGTGATACCTTGTAGCATTAGAAAATAACGTATTACAACTCGTAATAACATTCTTCCAAACATAGATATACCAAAGAATGTTAATTTTACTCAATTTACTGTAGTCATAGTTTAGTATTTTATTTACTTAATACAATTACGAATAGAGCGCAAGTACGCCGTGAAGTTAGCGTCAAGTTGGAAGTTGGCTAACTTCGTATCTTTGTCTTCGTAGCTAAGTAACTAACGCGTATATCGAAAACCTGAATAAAATTACAAAAAAATGTTTTGTTATAACCTATTTAATTGATTCCCTTCGCGCGCTACGGCGATGACGTCACGCTGAACCGATTCGCATCTATCAGAGCGCTTAGTCGGATTTTGCCGCGAATCATTGATGGATCTCAGTGGATTTTTATTTTAGGAATAAAATAAAAACATTGAATTTCAAATTACCTGTTATTACATATGCTGATAAAACAACATGATGCAACAATATTTTTTAGAGAGGATATTATTGCTGTTTTTCGATTATCTGTCTGATTACAAATTAAAAATACTGATGAACTAATTATTATCCTGTAATCACACTCAGACCTCTACCACAAACTTGAAATACGCAGGTAAAAAAGGAACTTAATGTTACAATTTCCCCTTGTTATTGGTCCAACAAACAAAACCTAATAAAAATACTAATCCATAAAAAAACTGTTATTGGTGTCATGTTAACTTGAGCAGAAATAATTAGAATTTAGAGGCACAACCACTCGTACGTCAAATTACACTTGACAGCCATTGTCTCATTTCACGTTTGACACCTGTCAAACTCAATGTAGAGTTGCGCAACGCAGAAGCAACTTCACGGCGACATTAACAACTTATCTAATATTTTAACTGTACATTCCATAGTGTTTAGTTGTCTCTTTCTAGAACATAATATGGAAAACATAGACATAAGTTTAAAAACTTAGTAAACCTCTCTGATCATATCAACGTTCAATAGTTGTTAAATTGTTACATGTTGTTACTCGTAGGGATATGTTTTTCACTTTGAAATAGCATGTAGAACACATAGTATTTAAACAAATTAGTTGCCCCTAAACCTACCTATTGCAAAATTGTATTCTATGGTTTTAGTTCGAAATTACGTAATCTCTGCTAATATATAATCACCCCTACTCTGTTAAATGCCGATTTCAATAATTAGTAAAGAATTTAACACCAAAGAGTATTTTGCCATACAATAATTCGAAAGAAAGCAAAAAACAGATGTTTTGTAAAGTATAGAAACGCTGATAGACTAGTCTTATCATTATTTAGCAATCCAGAATATTCATTTAAAATAAATTAAACTATGTAATCTTTGCTTCTATAAGTTAATTTTAAGTCCTAATTTTATAATCATTTTAGGAGACTGAATCCCTTCATGTTAACATTAGTGAAACATTTTTATTGTACCTTTTAAATGATTCTTAATAAATTATTAAACTTGTGTGTCTTATTTAATTTACCCCTCCTAATGTGTCCCTGATTTAATTAAGTTATACAGTTCACATTGAATTTCGAACAACCGATATCGGTGTTTGGAGTTACCAAGTACCGACGAAAAAGTTTGTTTTGACAAGGAAAACAGTTTATTTGTTATGTAGGGTGAAATCGCCTTTGCAATTTTCTTGTATATAGATACATATTTACAGTGAGCGTTCATAAGTATCGAAATAAGTACAAAACTTTAGTATAAATAATTTTTTGACAATGACAGAGGGCTCGCGAGTGCGTTGCCGGCCTTTTAAGAATCGATACACACTTTTCTAAGTGTGTATCCCGAATTGGTATGAAAATTCTTCAGTGGGCAGCTGGTTCCACGTAGTGGTGGTGCGCGGCAAAAACTGCCTTAAATTCGCTCAGTTGTGGAACGGCGGACGTCGAGGTGATATGGGTAATATTTCGTATTCTGCCTCGACGTGCGATGATGAAACTCATCTAAGAAAATAAAAAATATCCAAGATTGCGTAAACGTGAAGGTTTTTGTTGGGAATTAAGTAAAACCTGTCAACACAACACTTTACCGCTCATTTCAATGAGTTCTCATGATCATGCCTCTAAATAAGAAGAGTCGCTTAACAGGGGCAGAACTTAGCAAACAGGTGTTGTATTTGAAAAATATTTTATTGTAGGATTACAATCAAGCTCTCTATGTCGGTATATTTTTTTAATTTTCTTGCCCACTACGCCCTTGACTTGCGAACTGGTAGTAAATGTAAATTTACAATTCTTTTTTGACGTTCATAAGTGTATTTAATACCTATATGAATAAAGATATTGTGAGTTTATTATTTTAGTATTGCAATATTTCTTGGTCAGCAGCTCTGCCAGTAGATCGAGAGGAATCGGAATCCTTTAAACACATGTAAAGAGATTCATCTTCTGACTTTTTTTAAATATTATCTTTATAAAATTTTAGAATTTTGGTATTTAATGAAAAAAATTACGAAATAAACATTTAGAAGAAACAAACTCGTTATGTTATTATATTACGTGAACAAAATAATTACGATATTTCACATCCCCCAGGCATCCCGTGTGATTAATTCGCCAGAAAAATATTGCGATAAATAATAAATAAAAAATAAAAATATTCTGGCGAATTAATCACACTAGGCCCTAGCTAAACAAAAGGGTATCAAATAAAAGCCAATATAAATATTATAAATCCAACATTTATTAAATTTTTGTACATTTGTATTTAACATACCCGTTACAAAATCGCGAAGTGCACAAAGCTTGACAACGTGTCAAAAAATTTAAATCACATAAAAATTATTTATAAATATAATTATTCCATTTCATATAATATGTTAAAGAGCATATCAAAACTGTTCAGCAAAAACTTCGAATTAAAATTTCAATTTAGAATTATATTAATTTCTGTTCAAACCTCACATCCTTTGGCAAGTGTTACGTATGATTATACAATCAAAGTAAATGATTGTTCAACGCGTTCTAAAAGCTAGTACTGCAAGCTTTGGGTTGTTTAGGTATCCGCCTAAAACGTTTCCTTTCGTAGTGAACAGCGGCTGTATTTAATAATCATTCCAGGTCGCAGTACTTATACATCCACCGTTTTTATGTTTCGTTTGAAATTAATTCGTCAACGCTCAGTACGTTGTCAAACGAAAAATTCACAGACCATTATTGCTTGTAAAATGTCAATATAATAACCGGGTAAAAATGTCTTTTATTTCAAAATCTTATTGCTAAATATTTATCATAAAACAAATTTTAGTACTCCTGTCTTGCAAGATTCATCAGGCCTCTAACGATCATCCAATACGAGTTGTCGCTACAAATTGTACTGTCATTGTTAAGCTATCGAAAAATCTAGGGAATGTACGACGCGTAGCAATTATACACTGATTTTTAATTCTGTAGAATTCTGACAGCTATCATTTTTTGACATGTCAGAGATGGCAAACCTTTTTGGCTGGTCACATTTTTCAATTTCAATACGAGTCAACATCTGAGTAGATACATTTTATTTGTTAGTGAATGTATCCATTTTATTTAGTGCTGAGCTTCACATTAAAAGTGGTTTAACGGCGAGTGATAATAACAAATATTTCAATATCACGAACAATATATCGAACTACCTTTAATTACTTTATTTTATTCTTTAGCTGGCATCGCTGCCTACTAATTCCAGGTATAGTAAACCTTTGAAAGAAAAAATGTTATATATACTTGTGAATTTTTTACTGTTTGTGATGAAAAGGGACGTAATTATCATTGTCGTATTTGTCCCTTTTTCGGTGGAGAACTTTTTAGTTGAAACACTTATGAAATGTCAAAATTCTACGGAATGAAAAATCAGAGTACAAGTAGTTTGATGATACAGGGCTTTATCTTACCAGAGTCACTTTCTCTAAATTAAATTTTATATTGATACGAATATTAAATAAATAAAAACAGTAGTGTATTACGTCAAAGTAAACAAAAACGAAAAATATGATACACATTTTTCCTTGAAGGCAAAGCTTAAAATCTTCAAGTTAAAACTGAAGGAAGAGAATTCAAAGACAAGTCTAAAGTAAAATTCACAAAGACGCGCTAAGAACGACTCTCGTAATATCGTTTTTGACAGATCTAAAACAATATATGGTTAAATAACATTATACGCCCCTTTGAACTCAACTCAAAACTTTAATAATCTATTGCGGGTGTATAATTGTCAAAAATTCACACAACCATTTAAAAAAAATTGTATATTGCATATAAAAATTCATGTATTTAAACCAAAAGGCCGCTTGCATTACTTAAAGTAGGGTGCAAAATATTATACAAAATTGTGGAAGTCTTACATAAATGTACCAAGAACTCAAAAAAACGTAGACTGGTTACCATGGTTACCATTTGACATGAGAAAATTTCCTAACCATGGTATTAACAGTATTATACATTTATTTAAATAATAATCATAATCAATTAAGGCGATTCAGCACACTTGTCTAAATCTATCAAATAACCTGTCAATGTCATGATTATCATAATAAACTATAGTCTGTTATTCTATAGTTTATGATCACTCTTAAGTCTTAGAGTCTTAGACTTATTTTTTTGGAATAAAACATCGTTCTATAGTCATGTCATATTAATAATTATAAATATAAAATAATTATTTTGTCAAGTTAAAACTTGGTACATTTAATATAAATTAGGTATTCACTAAGCGGCCGGGGCCGTTGTTATTTTGTTCATAGCCGTCGTGTACGCCAGCCCCAAAGCCCACGACACTTCGTGACCGTTCACTTTCTTAAACAGCTGAAAATTTCCAAATTAATTAGTTTAAATAAATAATATAACAAAAAAATATTAATGGTTTTTTAACATTATTTCTTTACGCACAGTTGGAAAGATAATTTATCTTTATATATAGAATTATACTGTAGGTACGTGTGTATGTTACTGAACTCCTCTTAAACGGCTGGACCGATTTGAATGAATTTTTTTGTATACGTTTGAGTGACGCCCTGGATGTTTAAGAATCACATGTGTTCCTGATTAAATTCTTAAACGACTGGACAAATTTTGATGAATTTTTTTGTGTGTTCAAGTAGAGTCGAGAATGATTTACATTAGATATATTTTTTGTATGTAAGACGTGTGTACAGGACGTGTATCAGATCCGCTAAATAAATATATAAAATATACTAGATATTGATAAATAATTATAGCCTGTAATTAGGGATAGAGGTAATGTAGTATTTTAAAAATTAAAACAAATGTTGGAATCTATTCAGTACTTTTTGTTAAATCGTTACAAATAAAACAAAAGACAAAAATACATAACATTATCTTTTTTTTCTAAGTAACTACGCATTAGAGCAAATGGTAAAAACCTTCTTTCCCCGATAGGACATATTTTTATCCAATTGTGTTAACGATATAAGCGAAGATGAAATCGGATACTTAACTAACTAGCAACTACTTAGTCAATATATAAAAAAGATATCTGAAATTGGATACAAAAACAGCTCTAAATTTAATTTTTTTTTTTGTAATGAATGTTGAATCTTAATGTACAAAAACTCACCGAAATAGGTTCTTCATCGCGTATCTTATAGGCATCGTGCAATAAGGCAACCATATACACCAGGTCGATGCAGGCCCATGGCTGTTCCACGTTGGACGCGGAACACGCCCGTCTCGCCGCCGAACGGTACGCAGTCACTGACACTTGCCCGCCCGCCATTACGTCTACGTCAAATATTAATTTTATTTATTTATTCACAAAAATAATAAACTTGGTATTAATCAAGATTGGTTTAAAAACGTTTTGGAAATTTTAGCTAGGCTTCACAGATTAGCAAAACAGTTTTCTCTGTTGTCATACCAAAAACAATAGAAACCAGACGTGAAGTAAAATAATAAACTTGGTATTAATCAAGATTGGTTTAAAAACGTTTTGGAAATTTTAGCTAGGCTTCACAGATTAGCAAAACAGTTTTCTCTGTTATCATACCAAAAACAATAGAAACCAGACGTGAAGTTTGACAAGAACAATGGTTCTGTTACGTCAAATTGGCTTATCCGCGACCCGGCTTAGTCAAGACCGTCGTACTATAGCAAAGCGTGATTTTTTGTAAGTCACTTACTAAGTGAGACTCACGTACGTCAAAAACGATCTTGACATACGGAAGTCATAGTCTTCATTCGATTTGACGTTTGTCTAGCATTTTAGCGTTTTATTTCCTTATAAAATATCTGATATATTTTTTTTAATCTTTCCAAAAATCCCATTGATATGTGATATATAGTATTTGTTTTTTCTTTGATATTAATTCAATCTTCCACTCTACCAGACTCAGATTAACACGCCTTAATCGTCTGTCTCATTATAACCCGTACCGGCTGCACTGGCCGCGCTAACTACGTCACCGATCACGCCAGACCGATGTGAGACGCAGTATGCGTTCTGTCCCGCTCTAACGCGTATTGGCCGCACCTATATTACGTCATTGTGTGTTAGGTTTTTATTTTCGTTACGAAATTTCTTGCTTCGGTAGCCGCTCTCAAAGCCCTCGATAAAATCTATGCAATAGCTTCAAAATTAAAACCGATATTATTTCTAGAAAAATCTCACCTATGAGTCCAGCATCAGCGGCCACGTCATAGAAATAGCTCATGGCTGCGACGCTTCCACTTGGAGCACGACGCGGGACCCAGTCGAGTGTCCGCTCCACGTATCGTGTGACAGCCGCGTGACATCGCTTGTACACAGCTTCGCGCTTCATGCCTTCGGGCCGGGGGGCGCCACTAAGACATATTTTCATATCAATAACAGCACAAATACAGGATATATAAAAAAATATCCTAAAGTGTCCTTGGGAGCGTTCAGATATTACGTCACGCAATTTTTGGAGATTATTGACCCCCCCTCCCCCATGTAACGCGCCGTTACGTTTTTCTGTGCCCAATAGTAAAACGTTTCGTGACCATCCAGTGACTCTTTATACTTAAAAGTTACCATTATGTGGTTTTAAGTACTAGAAAGTCGAAAATAATATTAACAATAACGGCTTAAAGAAAACACTTTTTTACCGGATTGAAGTTATGTGTTATTATAAATTTACAATTATTTTATTTCCTTAAACTACAAGGTCCCAAGTTCGATTCCCAACAAAATCTGAATTATACTTTAAAAAATTACATTTTGCATTTAAAAAAGGTTTAAAATAAGACATAAATGTTATTTACCTAATAATATACTGTTTGTTAGCGTACGTCCATTTCTCCTTTTGAACGATAGGGTCAACGCACACTGAGACAAACTCATTCGTGTCATTATCGCCTGCTTCCTGCTTAAATACCCCGTGTCTGGCCGCCAGAAGACCCAAGTTCAAGTAACTGAAAAAAAAAATTGTGTTGGACATAAAAACAAAACTTCTTTAAGGTGTAGGATTTTAATTTATAAAAAAATAAGGTATTGACTTGACTAAAAACTACTTGATCCGTCGAGATAGGCAATTTTCTTTAAATAAATTGTCTTTACATAAAGACATCATTTAAGATTACGATTTAGTCTAACTTAAGACTAATAAGTAAATTAAGTCTAACCTAATAAGGATATTTAACATAAGAAAGTGTCCAATAACACACGCAAAACTACAATGCATATGTCACCGTCAAACTGTGAAATGGAACGCAGCTCGCGCGCTGATTGGTTGAACGGCATGCCCCGCGCCACCATATTTGTTTGTTGTCGAACGTATGCCGTTCAACCAATCAGCGCGCGAGGTGCGTTCCGTTTCACAATTTGACGGTTTCACTTCGATAGATTACAATCTACCGAATAATAATACGTTAAATTGTAAGCAGTTCAGGTTCACAATCTTTCGACAGTTCACAATGTAGATTCGAAATCCAATTCAGCTAGCGTAATTTTATATGATTTGTGAGTTTGTATCTGGATAGATTGACTATCTCAGAATCCATAGACAAATCTATGTAGAGAATAAAAAGGACAATAAAAAAGAACTCACGATAAGTTCAGTTTTTTCAGTTATATATTTAAAAACTACCGTACGAATTATATATAAGGAGAAACAAACACACAAAAATACCTGTGAGTATACAAGGTGATATTATCACCAGCTGGTACCACGAACTGATCAGCTGCCGGATACATTTTTGTATCCTCATCACTCAGTTGGAAGGTTATCTGAGTCGAACCGCCACCGAGGTCCAAAGCAGCCATAGTTTCTCCTCCTATCAGATCTGAAAAATTACATGTCATAATTAAAATCACCTTCAACTTTTATGAAATCGGTTAAAAGGCGATCCATCAAAATATGGATGCGATAAACAGCAATAAAGTCAAAGTCAAATCATTTATTTCAATTAGACCATCTAAAATGGCACTTTTGAACGTCAAAAAAATATATATAAAGAAGATTCTAGTATTCTATAAAAGGCAGATACCGCAGCCCATGGATACCCATGTTAGCGGGTGCGTTGTGGACCTTTTAGGGAGTATGCCTACCAATTTACTATCCATTTTACTCAGGCTTAAAGGTTAAAGGTTGGAGAACTCAGTTTCCGTACTTAGACTCTACTCTCCCTGGATCTGTTGTGCGAAAAGTCCAGGCTAACTAAGCTAGCCTAGCTCCTTCCAGAAGCACAGAATATTGCTCAGGCTTTCTCAGTTTTTGAAGTGAAACTTCTTTAGATGCATGAGTGTAAAAATTTTACGGAGCGTCACGAAGATGTGCAGCGTTTTTGTTTTTGGAGATAGCGATTGAAACCCATTGAGAGAGAGTGAGAAGGGTGAATTTCCTTATAGAAATTATATTTTTAGAATTAAAATTTCGTAAAGAGAATTTATGAAATTTTAGTATTTTATATTTTATATATACGTATGTAATAATGTTATATTTTAGAATTGTAAATTAAAATGCCACGTATTTTTATTATCGAAGAAATAAATTTAAAAAATTAATGTTATAATTTGTATTAATTTTCGACTTTTTAATATTTTAATGATAATTAAATTAATTAAATTCCAAACATATCTTCATGAAGTTATAAGCTGATATGTTAGGGATTTAATTAATTTAAATAACACCGCCCTCAATGACACTCTAAATGTCAGAGGGCTCGCAAGTGCGTTGTCGGGCTTTTAATAATTGATACGCTCTTTTCTTAAAGTACCCTAAGTCGAATTGGTTCGGAAATACTTCAGTGGGCATCTGATTCCACATAGTATTGGTGCGTAGCAAAAACTGCCTTAAGAAACGCTCAGTTGTGGAACGACAGACGTCCAAGTGATACGGGTGGAATTTCTTATTCTGCCCCCCAATAATGAAACTCAGCTGCAGGTGTTAATTCGAAACACTCCTCTCCATGGTAAATACGGTATCACATATAAGAGAATAAGCAGCTGTACTAAATCAAAGAAAGAAAATTTACAAATATATCAAATAAATATTGGTTTTTATAATTTTTTAATCGGTGTTTTCTCCCTCGGTGATTGTTGTTTGCCTATAAATGATCATAACTTTTTGAACTTCTTTAGGCGCGTTATGAAAAATTAATGAGAGTGAAATTTTACGATGCGCGCGCACCGTTACACCAAATTAACAGAATGAAGTTGCCCACGGAAGATACTACGTCATTGGACATAATTTAAAAACAACATTCGAATAATAATAGAATTTATGTTACACTTAATGTGAGAGAATAATAATAAGTATTTATTTATTTAATTTTTCAAATGTAAACTGAACTTTATTGCCTATAATGACTCCTTTTCCAGTCTTTGATTATTTAATTGTAATTAATTATTTGCATGCAATCAAAAACTATTTTTAATAATGCCAATGAAGTATAACTTCTTACGCGCGTACATAAGTACACGCACCCTTTTTAATTAGTGGTTTAGCTGTATGCTATCTCTTACAGTGATAGAATGAAAAGATTAAGCATCCCCAAGACCCAGGAACCGTACAATGCTGTTTTTCTTAAACAGTTGAAGGTTGTCCCACTAAGAGACAATTCAAGAGCTCACTAGTTCCCAAAAGGAAATGCCTAGGGAAGCGAAAATTATTTGACTTACTATGTAATAAATTAACGGTGTACCAAATGAAGATTCCTTCATCGGATCCGTCCATTATTTCAACACTGTTCGGTCCCACATCGTAGCCAAGTCTGAAAAATATTAAATATTAAAGATATCAAATAGTTTTTTTTAGCTCTTAGCCTAAGATTCTTTGGAAATATCAACATGTGTCAGAAGGCTGAACAGTGAACACTCTTTTAGATTTTTTTTATATTAGCTGACCCGGCAAACATTTGTTTTGCCATGTATATTATTTCTAGGAAACAATTTTTTAATTCAATAAAAATAACTATCTACAATTGTAAAAAATAGGGGTTGTATGTATTTTTGTATGCTGTATCATAAGAAAATAAAAATAAAAATTGTTTCAAAAATAAAAATAAAAAAATTGGGATGGAACGAAATTGGCAGCGTTCGTTCAAGTGTTACGTAAGAAATTTGGATGGGGGGGGGTTCTTTTTGTAAAACGTTACGATGCGGGGCGGGGATTTAATTACGCGTTATTGTTAATATTATTTTCGACTTTCCAGTACTTTACACCACGTAATGGTAACTTTTAGGTATAAAGAGTCACTGGGTGGTCACGAAACGTTTTACTATACTTGAGTACAGACAAACGTTACGGCGCGTTACATGGGGGGTCAATAATCTCCCAAAATTGCGTGACGTAATACTTAAACGCTCCCTAAGTCGGTGCGTTGTCGGCTTTTAAGAGAGTTTGACACTAAAATTTAATTCTACAGCTCCCCAGTTAACTTAAAGTTAACGTTATTATAAAATTAATATCTAAATTTTGCTTTCCGGCAGAAGGACTTGTATCCATGACATGCACTAAATTAAAAAAAAATTGTATACATACTTGGCTATTGCATCGGCGACTTCTTGTACAAGTTGTTTGGCTTTATCAGCGGGTAGGAGCCTCAACCCGGCCGTAGCCCGAACAATAACAGGCGTAGAGCGACGCTTCTCTACCGGGGTGAGAAATTCCGCCTTTTTTATCAATTGGACTATTGTATCGGCACCCTGAAATGTGAAATTTATTTAGGATTTTATCTTTAATACATATAAGCCTAAAGCAAATTCACAAATATTTAACATACATTTTCGTTTTTATATTTTTTAATCGGTGTTTACTCCATTCGTGATTGTTATTTGCCTATAAATTAATATTAAATTTTCATTACGTATCTATCACAATATACAAGTACAAAAATAGTATGTAAATCGGAATGTCATTGTCATTCTTACTTGTTTATGGCAATTTTAGAAATCTATGGATTTAAAAATCTATGTCGCAACACAACGGTTGTCACTGACATTTGACATTTAAGACCAAGTGACATTGTTGAATTGTTGAGAGTGTTTAATTTATCAGAGACATCTACAATCTACGGCGTCAATCGCTTTGGTGACGTCATACTTATTACCTTATTCTTAAAGACGGCAACGCACTCGCAAGCCCTCGGGCATTGAGTCTATGGACGGAGTTAATATCATGCCCATATGCCGTTCTATAGAAAAAAAACCAGATTCGCTGTCGATCTAGTTTCAAGAGCTCCAAACCATTTTCTAGAAGTTTCACATGTTTGACAGCGCTCAAGAGAATGTGACTTCGATTTTTAATAAGGAACTAAGTCTTTTTAACCTCTGAGTATGAAACAGACCGATCCTCTCTTTACTTAAAAAATTCTAACAGATTATTCCCTTCTATGAATTGATTTATGGGTTGATGGATATGATTGACAATTAACATTAAAAATAAAATGTTAATTGTCAATCAAATGTTATATGTATTACCTTTTTAGGGTCGTCGACATAAGAAGAAAGGCCCGGCTTGGTTTCTTCGAAATATTCATCTACTAGATCTAGGCTGGTTGGACCGAATACTGAAACAGAATAAATAAATTTTGTAATGCTTATACAAAAATAAATAATATATGACCTTCACTGTTCCCTAGGAATTTACTTTAGTGTCCAATTAATCAGAGTTCGCCTATGCGCGACTCTGAGAACCCTGAACCCCTGTTAATACTACAATATAATACTATCCTGGCCTCGCACGACATATTATGGAAATAAATATTGTTGCAAATAATGATATCAAAATAGAACAGAGACATCTGTCAATAATTAGGTAAACCGTCAATGTCAAGTGTCATTTTGTTATTTTTCTCTATTCTATATTTAGTCGTGGTTCTATTTTATATATTGCTCTGGTAAAAGTTTTGAATGTTCTCTTTCTTTTACATTAGCTATGGAAGATTTATAGATATGGAACTATAGAAATAAAAACTAAAAATCCTTAGTTTCTCATATTATTAATATTGGGGTTTCAAACGAGTAGGAAAATTAAGAACATTTTTAGATATATACTCTACCTGTGAATGGCACCCTAAACTTATAAGCTAAGACCCTGGACCCTGAGGATCCAGCGTCAATGATGACAGCGTGGTGGGTGATGCTCTCGTAACCGAGACTCTTCGCGATGCCATCGAACCACTGTGTCTGGCCCGCGAAAAGACCTGAAATTAGTATTCATTTGTTAAATTCAGAACCGAATTCGGTCGCAAATATATAACCTATTTCGGAGCGAGTCTTTACAACAGCTTGACCTGAGATATGGGAAATTGTAGCCGAGTTTTTTGGTAGATGCAGTTACTGCGACGGTAGCGTATATTTTACTACTTTTTTTCTCATGTATGTTTTTAACGAGAATAAACTTATTTAAACCTAAATTTCTCTTCTGGCGTTTTGACGTACAATGTAAGAAAATTAAGATGGACTAGTTAGCTGTCGATTCCAAGACGGACTCCTAACCACGTAAGACGTGGCTTCGGCCTTTAAACCACCAAAATTCTCCAATTATTACCAAGAATAAGACCTGGACTATGGACTTTTGCCTTTCCCATTAGGGATAAATTAATATCATCATCATCTAGTTAGCTGTCAAAATGTCGACATTTATAGCAAAAAAGATAATACGTTTAATTACTAGATTACAATTTGTTTCTTAAACATGGACTTAAGAGTCGATAATATCGCACAAACATTTCTATTGTTTTGTCAATAGTACGTACACGTCAAACGTTAACGTTCCTGCATTGGGTGCAACACACGAACTATATGTTCGTTACATATTTCGTACATATGCTATTAGACATTTCAAAAGTAGTCCAACAGCATGACGATACGAATTCCTATTACCCAAAAACAACGAATGTTTTTGAAGTGAAAACTTCTTTAGCGGCGCTGAGCACTTTTTTGTATGGGTAAAAACTTTCAAACTTGCGTCAGGGTCACGTGATGCTGATCGAAAAAGCGTAAGATCGAGGGGAAGGGAGAGGAACTAGTATCTCCCACTCTTTCTACCGTGCCTGAGTGTGCTGCTCTGTTTAGGCGGCACAGGGCGCTTGCGCGAATGACCGTGTGTGTTTATGTACAGCGTCCCACGCGTATCCAAGGATGGTGACAGCTGATTGCTTGACTGTTGTGTAGTAAATACACTGTTGTGTATTCGTAAATGTGAATTGTTTAAATTATGGAAATCGAACAAAGTGAATCTATTAATGAAAAAAGTGATGATGAAGTAGTGAAAGCAAATCAGTACGGTCTTTATTAGACACTTAAATAGGTTCGAATCAAAACTGTTTGTTTCTTACTTCAGTTATCATAAACCAATTGTATCAGTTGTAAAAATTTGCGATGATGATTCTGATAATAACGATGGTGTAAAAGTCGTCGAAATTATGGATGGAAGTTGATTTTTCTGAGAGATAAAATTTAATAAATAACGATATAATATTATAAATAACAACATATAAATTGTCATATTTGTGTACGATAGCGCAATAAATAAACATTGTATTCTACCTCATAAATGATAGTACTTTTATACTTATAATTAAACACAACGTTAATATTGAAGTTTTCACTTCTGCCGGCACTCCCGGAGTGCTCCCGTTGTTTTTTTTTAATTCTCATTCTCAAGTGCAAAAACTATATAAAAGAAACTGGTAATTAAAAGACGATGCTTTTGAATATTGAAAATTTATGGTCTGGTAATGAGAGACGTTGCTTATTACCATCCATAAACAATTGAAGACACAAATTTTTATCGGAAAAAAGATAGACTTCCGCGAAATGTATAAATATGTACTTGTTTCAGTAACATTAAATAAATCTTAAATGACACATGCGTTTACCGGAATCAAATCATTAATGAATCACTTTTAAGTCTTGTACTTCAACAGTTAATAAAAATCATTGGATTTGTGATCTTAGAGACTAGGCAACTCAACCAACCAAAATCCCTGCTGTGGACCAATGAATCTTTCTAAGTGTGCACGTGGGTAATGTCAAACATCGTGAGGAAACCGGTATTAAATCCAAACGAAGTGAGTGTTACAGGATGCGAAGAAACTTGGCTGGATCGCCGATACCGATTCAATTAACAATAATATAATTGACAGCCAATTTTTAATATAATACTGTGTATGTAAACAGGATACATTTTGATATGAAACTTCCGGTTAAAGTATTGTTTTAATTCCATGTTAAATAAATATTGATATCTCATTCTGTTGTCAGCGGTGATATTTTAATATTTTTAATGGTCACCTTTTGGTCCCTACCAAAGTTCCAAAACATCGTAAAAAACAGTTTAGCCAAAAATACTGCGCTTTGGGCTCAGATTTCGATATCTGTATCGTGATCATTTGTTTTTTTCTAATTAGCAAGTAGGAAAGTACCTTACATCTGTACCTGACACACATATTTTTCTGTAATATAGTACAATGCGAATTTTAATTAAAAGCCATGTTGTAATTTAAAGAAATAACTTCAGTTAATTCAAGGACCTTCTTTTTTTCTTTTTAATTTACTTCTCGCAATGGTAAATTTGTGAAACATGTGTGATGTTTGAAAGCAAAAATAAATCTACCTGGTATTAACAAAGTCAGTGTACGCACTACCGTGGCGTTTGCCATTTTTTTCACATCACACGTCCAGTCACCGTACCAATATCAATAACTACTGAGGCCGCGTGTGCCGATAAAACAAACTTTTAACTATAACAATCTTATTACATAGGCCATAAAGCTTATTCAATTCAGTTAAGGCAAGCAGAAACAATTTCAAATCATTTATTTTTTAACAAAATTTCTTGTGTTATTACACTTACAATGTGAAATTGTTTGAATTTTTATTCACCTGCACTGTAAGAAATCATAAATTGAAAACTATAAGGGCATTATTAAAAGAAAGGTCAGTGATCACCAAAACACTGAGGACCATATTTAACATCCCTCAATACATCAGTAATAAGAACATATACCTTGATTTAAATATACCAACTGTCAAACAGGAGATAGAAAGATATAGCATCAATTACCAAATGACTCTCAAACCACAAAAATGAGCTTGCCCTCAAACTCAGTGGAGATCAAAGCCTTCAACACAAAATATTGAAGAGACATAGTGTCCCAACCCTAAAAATAGATTCCTCAGGATGGAATGAGACACCTGCTGGAGAAGTGTCTCACTACGCTAAAAAGCCTAAGCGGATACACTCGTATCGGACAAAGTAGTGGCTTATTGTTGTGTTCAACAGATTGCCGCGGAGCAGAAAGAAAGAAAAAAAATAAAATAAAAAATTATTAAAAGAATTTCAAATCTAAAATGCACTTAGCATGAAAATCTCTTTTTGACCTAAAAACTTCAAACCTAACAAGGCTTTCGTAAGTTACATGGTCTAGTTAAGGAAACTGTGCCATCTATATAAGGAAAATTACACTTAAAGTAATAATTAACATTAGATCATCTTATCCTACATACTTATTTTGCAGTTATTTTAAAGTATAATTACAATGACAAAAACCAATTGTTTTAAGTACAGGTTTTTAGAATTAGTAATTATATTAGTAATGTTAATACAACTTGATAATATTACTTTATATTGTAAAGGAAGAACACAATAACAGCAAAAATAATAGTTTAACACAAAATGAAAAAACAAAGCTCATGGAGAATATTTCGTAATTTCGTTTTAAAATGTTCTGTTGAAAGTTCTCACGTTGACAACAAAAACTGTTAGATTGAAGTTTGTTATATTTTTATGCTGCAAACAAAATTCATCTAAATGGATGAATTAACTATTATAATATTTTGATTCAGTTATAGTATTATCATAAAATAGTTTCAAGATAGCATATATTACTTTTTTATCAGACAAGATATAATCAGTTTGACTTGCCTTAAGTTAAAGTGCTTATCAAGTATATTGTTCAGAAACATTTCAATCCTACTTACTTGATTGAAAACTCTTGTAAAAGTTGTATGTGCACATTAGATGATGAGATGATATACATCCTATTCAATATTATTTACACTACTCACATGAACAACTTCACTATGATATCAATTAGAAGGTAAGTGTTTTACTGTACAATTTTCAAACAGATATTAGTACATTACTTTAATAAATTGCTAAGGATTGGTTAATGAAAAAACTTCAATTGTTGTAAAACTAAAACTAAGTCTACATAATATATCTCACTTGCTTTATTTTATTTACAACACCAATATATTATGTTTTAAATATATATTTTAATAATATTTTAATTGTATGGTGTATTCTAATCTGTACTTATGATGAATTTGAGAAAATGTATATAACTAAAATATACTATACATAACAGTTTATTTTAAGGAAATAGACTTACCCAATAAATATGTGCCGCATAGTCCTAAAGCTATCAAAAAAATGAAGACCTTTTTGAATCTCCGAGGCTGCTTCAGGCTTCTTCTTACATTGATATGTGAGTTTGAGGTATCATCTTTTAGCTAAAAAATTAAAATAAAGTTTTAGTTAGTGTTGCTATATAGGTCTTGGCCCCAGATTGCAGAATTCTTAATAGACACTACATGACAACAATTATAGAAAAACATAATTTTCGTGGAAAACTCATGTAACGTTAAACCATTAATGTCTGTTACTATCAAATAAGGCATAACATTAAACTATCTAACCTAGCACCTACCTCTAAATACCTGTACGTACTGAATTTTCCCATAATGGGTAAACATCACAACCTATACGCTTAAAACCAAGGTATTATGTAAATATAATCATTTTATCAAATAGCTGGACTACATTTAAATATTTTTTATTAATACTCTAAGTGCAATACTAATAAAGTTTTATCTTAAGTTTTGAATAATAAAGATAAATCAAGATTAAAATAAATTCTTAATTCTTGAATTGGTATATGGAAAATGTCATTTATGATTTGGCAATTGGCATTTCCTACTAACGTGAAACGTCGAATATATAATATGTAAGGGGCTTTCCGCTTTGGATGTAAGCTAAAGTAATTGAACGTAATAAAACGCGACTTTATGTCAAGTGTCATTTTCAAATATCAATTTGTGGTAACGTCATTTTCAAGTCAGATAAAAACTTGTTAATATGGTATATATATTAGTAAACTTATCACGTTATATTTGTAATTTCATTCCTTTATTTTCATAACTGTTTGTTATATGTCCATAAAATTTCAGTAAGTATTCTGTTATGGCTAATTAGTTTATTGATACTGAGTACTGACAAATGACATTTAATATTTGTTAACTGTCAAGGTCAAAAATAAAAACTAGTATAAGTCAGAAGTGAACAAAATATTAGTAAAATAATAATTTTACAATTTTTAAGTTATTGAAGAGCGCACAGAATTGTGATATTATTAAAGAATTACAATAGCATTTATACTATTCCATATGACTTGTACTTTGCTGGTTAAAAAGTTTACCTTAATTTCGCACTAATTCCGTTAATGCAATCTAAGTTCATCAGAGAAGTTAAGAGGTAAGTTACAGATTCATTAGGCAAAATAAAATTTGAGTTAATTCATTTGAGAACCTTTTTAACTCATTTTATTCTGACTTAAATAATTTTACCTTAAGCTACTTGCTCTTGAGTTTTCACTTATCGCTCTGATTTCAAACATTGTTTACACTTTAATACATTAACGAACACCTACCTTTCTTTGTCGTATCTCACTCATTATAATAATTACACAGTCCTTAATAAGAAAAAAATCTACTTTTAAGATATATATATATTATCTTTGTCACTTGGTATTACGTAATATTTCTAATAACGAATAGGTATCGTGTGAAGCAAGGCCGCGCGCGTTTTGAGACACCGGCACCGCGACTCGTCGAAGTCAATAGTAATCTTTATCTAAGTATATTATGATGTACATTAAATAATGAACATTAATGTTACAATGACCTTCATTACTTCATTACTGTAATTAGTGATGAAAATGGTTTATAATGGCATTTAAGTACATAATAATAATTATTGCTCTATCAGTTTATTTAGAAAAATATAGATAGATTATTTAAATAAACTCTTTACTATACTATCATAATTTGAAAGGCGTAGACCTAAACATTGAGATTCCAAATCATTAAACAATTTGCAAGCAAATTTCTATACACGTGTATTCTAAACAATAGATGTTCGTAAGTCGAAGTCGTTTTTCCTATACCTAGTATAAACACGAATTACACTTCGCCAAACCTGGCCCATGTACGAAACGAGAATAGTAATAAAATAATATAGAGCAGCATGGATAATAAATGATGTATTCACACAAGTTCACAAATTTATCACGATAAAGAAAGAATGCTTTATGTCAAATTTATTCTCCTAATAACCTAAAGGAAACATTATTAAGACTTATTTTTGTTCACTTTTGTCGATAGTCATGGTAACTCTTGTTAATGGTATTAAATTGCAGACATGCCGTGAAGTGACCTTGTAACGTCAAGTTTTTTACGCTTTATAATTATTTATTTCGTTCTCATTCTATCTGGTAGGTAACTCGAAAAATACGATTTAAAACACTGTCAAAACGGTGGCAATATTGCTTTATTTTGTTTTTCTTTATTCTTTATTAATGGTTAATAGTTTCTATGATAAAATAATATTCAGTCTGTAGCCAAATGTTCCGAATGCAAAATGCAAGTGAGTAACGTTCCTTCCTATAAAAAAATTAAAATCAGTGGCGCTATAGCTTTTTTAGGTCTGTATGTTTCATTATCATATGTCAATCTAATAGTCTAGTAGAATCAGCCTCCTATGCCTGACACACGCCGTCGACTTTTTGGATCTAAGGCAAGCCGGTTTCCTCACAATGATTTGCTTCACCGTTCGAGCAAAACTTAAATGCGCACATAGAAAGAAAGTCCGTTGGTGCACAGCCGAGGTTCGAACCTACGCCTTCAGGGATGAGAATCGCACGCTAAAGCCACTAGGCCAACACTGCTCTCGATAAAAAATTTACTGAAGTAAAATTAATTTACCTTGACTAACTAATTGTTTGGTTCAGTAAATTTTAAACAATACAATTTTCATCACGGCTAAAAGAGAGCTTGTAGCGCTATGAAGTTCAGCTCTAATTAGGGATGTGACATTCTGCATAAAAAAATTTTTTTTTTTAGCATGAAAAGTCGATTAATAAATAACAGATGTTTCTTAAAAAAATTAATCGATTTTTTCCTAATTTTTGAATTAATTTCAAAATAAACACCTTAAATATTTTATTTTTTATTTCATGGTTTTATTAATTAAAAATAAATACTAGAAATTATAAACACAAATTATAGGTATGTTAACTAAAGCTGGCGGCTTCAACACATTTACACTTTGTGCTTGTGTAGTGTCTGTGAATAAGCGCGAGACGTGATGTCAAACTGAAATACAATCATAAATACATCATGAATAGACTGTCCGTCGTGTATGAGTGGACTAAAATGTATAGCATGGCCAAAAAAATCATATTTTGAAACATACTGTATGTGAAATTGCATTAGTGTGAGTACTGTGAACCCGCCAGCTTTCGATAACCGACCTATAAAGTTTTAGAATAATCAAAATTGAAATTGACCTATAGTCGAATTTTTAATTAGACGATATCAACTGACGTTTACGGTGTTGTCAGTTTTAATGAAATAAAAATAGTGTTGTGTTTGTCACATGATTTGTGAATGATTGAAAAAACTCCTGAATTAATAAAATTGCCTCGATTGCCTAGTGAATAGTTAACGTTGCGTACTGCCGATATCGGATACGGGTTCGAATTTTAGTCGTGCTTTGAACATACCAACGAGTTTAGTACTAAATACCAATTGTTTTTAACATTAAGGAAATCATTGCGAGGAAACTTGTAAGACTGTCCTATTCTCAATATATCATGTAGTTTATACTATAGATGTTTAATAATATAACAATTATAGGTTGGTAATGAAAATAATAAACATCGCTTATTACATAATTTGTTTTTATTCATCATCAGATAAAAAATCATCACTATCGCTTTCGGTGACATTAATAATAAATCTGTCTGAAACATTGTCGATCATGTCGTCGAGACCATACATTTTATCTTCTTCTTTCATTATGTGAGACACGCAGCTACGCCATTTATCAGGTGTGATTAGTTTAAGTCCTTCTTCAAAAAAGTTTTTTTACTTCTGTCATTTTGAAGGTTTTATTATTTTTTGCAACATATCCTTTAGCCTGCGCCCATACCAACTCAATGGGATTAAGCTCACAGTGGTATGGGGGCAGACGTAAACAATTATCTCATGCTGCGCTGCTATCTCGTCCACAACATACTTTTCGAAATGATCTTGTTTGTGCTGCCGTACAATGTCTATAAGAGTAGCTTTAACCATTGTTGCTTCGAATGAAATATTTTTGCTCGTTAGCCACTCTTGTATTTTAGGTTTAGTCCAAGACATTTTAGGCAGCGATTCTAGTTTCCTGGAGTGGTAGGGGGCATTATCTAGCACTACAACGGAATTTGGTTTTAGTTTTGGCAAGACCACTAAACCACTTCTCAAAGGAATCGGCATTCATTTCTTGATGATAGTCTTCTTTACTTTTTTTGGCTTCAAATATTAGTAAGCTGTCTTCTACGAATCCTTCTTCCCCACCTATGTGGCCGATAATTAATCGTTTGCCCTTTCCTGAAGGCTGTTTTAAGCCAGTAGTCAGGCCATCTAGGAAGGCCTGGCGAGTCGATAACACTGTCTGGTCAATCCATGCCTTCTTCGGTGCATGACCTACAAGATAATGAAAAATAACAATTAGTTAATGAAAGTACAATTTAATGTAAAGAAAACAGAAAATTGTAATTACCTTCGTTGATCCAGGTTTCATCTTGGTAATAAATATACCTTCCTTCCCTTCGATACTCTTTAATTTTGCGAAGGTATCGCTGGCGCCATAACATAATGTCCTGTCTGTCAATTAACATGCTTTTTCTTGATTTTGTGACATATTTGAAATTTAAATGTTTCATAACATTTCTTAATGTACTCCAAGAAAAATTGGGTAAGTCTGGGTCTTCATTGACAACCTTAAGAATCTGTGAAGTAATAAAAAAACGTTTTTGAGTAAGGAAGTCTACGCAATCTAATACTTTGGTTTTACAAAGATCATTATTGTGGAGACAGAATATAATGCAGTCGATGGAATAAAGTTTGTTACCTTTATAATGGTGGGTTACTCATTTGCATAAAAAAATTATGAACTTTTCGCCTTATAGCGGCCAAAGTAAAATCGTCTAATTTATCTTTGAAATTGTGTTTCGGTCCACGTTTCTCGGGAGACTTAAATTGTTCATTTTCTTTGTATTCTTTTAATACACTGTAAACTGAGGTCACGCTAATTCCCAAAATGTCAGCTGTTTTCGAAACACATTCTTTTTTTCGGGAGCCTCAATAGGTAATAGTAAAGCAGCTTTCTCCTCAAATACGTGTTTGTAGACGTTTTGTATCAAAACTTTTCGGTAACGCTTAAAGCAATCCGTGGTCTCTTCTTTCTTGGAGACAAGCTTTGGCTTGACGTGCTTGGTTGAGGATCCATATCGTTTTTACGAAACAATATAGAAATAAAAAAACACAACAATAACCACAAACACAACGTAATGAAAAACTTAACAAAAACTATAACTAAACAGCGTGAGCGCAGAAAAAACATTCGTGCTATCAGACCAGA